AAAAGCAATGGGCCCAGTATGCTACCCTGCTGAACTCCCACGGAACAGGGCAGAGACCCGGACACAGAGCTTCCATGTTTCAACAAATCACCTCCCCAAACTGCGACAATATAATCCAGTTTTTGAAAGGAAAGGAATTGATCACTCCACTAGTTGGCAGTATTGAGCCGRTGACCTGTCTTTTYGCATCACTGGAATGTTTTCTGYTGAATGGAGACAGACTTGCACTTTATGTTTAACTTCTGCTAAGTTTTATGGAGAATATATACTTTTGAACTTGCGGACCAAAACAAATCAAATAGCACTTTAGAAACTGTGCAACTAAATTTTGAATTAGTGCTGCCCACCACTGAATATGACAGTACATCTCAATAAAGTAGTACATTTCTACACAAACTTCTTGTTTCAGGACAACGTTAAGGGAGCACCTGAGGATCCACAGCGGGGAGAAGCCTCACCTCTGCAGCATTTGTGGTCAAAGTTTTCGCCACAGCAGCTCATACAGGTATGAGGCTGATCCAACAAGTCTGTTCTTTGATTGGGAATGACTTTTATTTTCACTAAAATGTCACTAAAACACTTCACCTCTGTCCCTTGGGCAGGCTTCACCTCAGAGTTCACCACGATGATAAGCGTTATGAATGTGACGAATGTGGAAAAACCTTCATCCGCCATGATCACCTGACCAAACATCAGAAGATACACTCTGGTATGAGTCGTTTTATCCTCACACACAGAAAGAAATGCACAAACTTCTTGTTTATGTAAGCTCTCCGTGTTTTTCCAGGTGAGAAGGCTCATCAGTGTGAAGAATGTGGGAAGTGCTTCAGGCGCCATGATCATCTGACTGTTCATTACAAAAGTGTTCATCTAGGAGAAAAAGTTTGGCAGAAGTATGACACACAGATCACTGCAGTGACTTAAGAAAAACTCACAAAAGTCACTGAAATGACTTGAAACTGAGAAATGAAAATTTAGGAAAAAATGAAAATAAGTTGTTGCTTTTCAATTTTAGTTCAAGAAAAAAACAAAAACAGAAATAACACTGGTATCAGTCGATTTCTATAACTTCCACTGCACATGTCCACAGGTGTTCTGTTTGGGATAAATCTTGTGCCAGCAGGAATTGAATTTGAATTTCTCAGATTGAATCTGAATGTGCATAATTAGAAATTAAATGCATTGGTTTGAAAATTAATTTTACAAAATTGAAACTGAATTGAATGGTTTGAAACTGAATTTAAAGTTTTGTATC